TGTTTCTCTGTGTCATAGATGGAAAGCACCCCACTAGACACTGTGTCACACAGTGCCGCCTGTGTCTCTTGTTGGAAAGCACACTTAATATTTTCTAGTACTTTTGCGATACTGCCATAAGCCGGTCGCGCTTCTCTGATAATCTAGGACTTTAGACATTTACCAATTATCATATTTGCTATCTAATTCTAAGCCAAGCTACTGGGAGCGTGGCGATCGACTTTCCTTCGTTTAAACACACGGAGCTTGCACTTCTGTTTGGTATGTTCTGTGATATAACGTAACCTATCATTGCTCGCCAAGTCGCCGCTGGTCGCCACGTACGATTAGGGTGAACTGTGAAGTGTCATTGGTGTTATAGGCTTGCTGCTTTGCTGTCCTTACTGGCTTGCTCCGTTGAAAGACAACGCGAACGATAGTAACGACACATCGAAAAGCGGGCTTGATGCAGTTTTACATTATATTTGATAAAAAATGGTTGTTACTAACAAACATACTAAGTTATTCATATGCGCGGTCGGTATATTTGTGTGCTACTTCTACTTCGGTATGTTGCAAGAGAAAATCACGCGTGGACAATACGGCGATGGGGAGAATCGTGAGAAATTCACGTACATGTTCGCATTGATCTTCGTCCAGTGTCTGGTAAACTATATATTTGCCAAAACGATTCTGCTGACGGTGATGAAGCAGGGCGAGGATACCACATCGACTTTGTATTATTCACTGTCCTCTCTGACGTATTTTCTTGCTATGGTGTGCAGTAACATGGCATTGCAGTTTGTCAATTATCCGACGCAGGTGATCGGTAAAGCTGGCAAGCCTATACCTGTGATGATACTTGGTGTATTGCTAGGAAAAAAGGTATAGTTTAATAGTTTTATTTATCAAAATGGTCTTTGTATATTGATGTTTTTTGCTCTCTTTAATCATCATTTCTTTGCAGGTATATCCAATTAGAAAGTACCTATTTATTTTCTTTATCGTCATTGGAGTTGCATTATTTATGTATAAGGATGGCAATGTCTCTAAAATGCAAGCAGAGTCACAATTGTCAGTTGGAGAACTATTATTACTATTATCGTTAACAATGGATGGATTAACAAGTGCAGTGCAGGAACGAATGAGGGCAGAGCATCACTCAAAGTCAGGTCACATGATGCTTAATATGAACCTCTGGTCTGTTATCTTTAGTAGCGCAGTGATTCTTATTTCTGGAGAACTTTTTGAATTTATTCGTTTTCTGCAAAGATATCCTTCCACCATATGGCATATAATGACATTTTCTATAGCTGGGGCTTTTGGACAATATTTTATATTTTTAACAGTAGCTGAATTTGGTCCATTGCCATGCTCAATTATAACCACTACTAGGAAATTTTTTACCGTTTTAGGCTCTATATTAATTTTTGGAAATAATCTTTCATCTAGGCAATGGATGAGTACATTTATAGTATTCTTAGGTTTATTTTTGGACGCTATGTACGGTAAAGATAAAAGTAAAAAGGATACTGTAAAATAGTATGTGATAATTATCTCAGCATTTACTTAGATGACATATACTTTTAAATATACTTCCAGCATTTAAGTTATTATAGAGCATAATAATTATTTATAATTTACTGTAAATATATTAGAACTTCTGATCAAATATTGTTATTTTTTCTGTTCGTATTTTTGCAAATAAAAGATGAGAGAGTGTTCTCGAATGAAGAATTGTATAATTTTCTATAATGGCATAAAATTAATTTGATGTTGAAAGATAGTTATAAAAATATTTGTAATATAATATTTTGAACAATTCTTTTTGATTTGTTGATTATATAATTTTTCACAAATAAAAAAAGAGCTTTAATATCAAGTTGTTTATATATTTCTATTAGTTAATCTATTAGTTAGATTATGTAATCAGTATTTCATTAAGACTCTCGATCTTCCTCATTGCATATTGAATTTTGATACCAGAAACTGAAATTATATAAATTTTTTTCTTATACTGTAAAAATACTAGTTTTTTCATGTATTATTTGTATTTTATATGATAATGTAAAAATATGTCAAAGACTTTCTCAATTTATACAGAAAAGATTTATAAATGATTATAAATTTTGATCAGTTACGACAGTTTATAAAATTTAATATCTACTGAAAAAATAAATAATATGGTAAATAATACTGCAATGTTATATACAGGGTGATATTAATCTTAATAGTCAAATATTGTAAAAGAAAGCTATTTTACAAAAAAATATTTAAAATAAAAATATGGTGTGTATGTGTGTGCGTGTGCGTGTGTGTGTGTGTATGTGTGTGTGTGTGTGTGTGTGTGTGTGTGTGTGTGTGTGTGTGTGTGTGTGTGTGTGTGT